CTATTGGCTCAAAACAACTTCCCTACTGAGATATTTTCACCCTTCTTTACCCTTCAATTTGAAAAATCCTTTTGATGCTTAAATCTTAGACAATACACACATGACATATAACTAGCTCATTTGAGATATACTGAAGAAATTCCTTGAAAAAGAGATTTTATGTTTGCTGAACAGATTCTTCGTATCATGCTCACATAGAAGATGCAAAAAAAAATGACTGAAGGATGTTTTCATGCAGTGGATAAGCAAGTATCCACGGTAGCAGTATTTGCAGCCAACCTGTCTGTTTATGTTCATCTGCCATGGCCACACACCTTCCTGAATGAGACCAAGCACAACATTTACAGTTACACAGCCTGTGTCTTCCCAGAAATGAATGTTTTTTCCCTGAAACAACTCAGTTATCTGCTGAGCTTCTGACATTACCATTATATATATTTCACACACCTGGTGAGGAACAAAATTGCTGGAGCCGATTCAAGTTCTTACCTTGTTTATAACTTTTCTTCTTAAAAACCTCTGAAGCAAGCCACGCATTGGTTCCCCATCCCACCGAAGCTGAACCCAGCGGAAATGCTGCTAAAAAAAAACAGAGCCGTGAAGATGACACTTTGCAATTGTGCCCAGTAAAAAGCAGTTCTCGTGAAAGTAAAAGGCACCAGAAACTCCATTTGCTGAAAACGAACCATAAAACATTTTACAAAAATACTCAAAGCTTTGACGCGATTTCATATAAACCAGTTAATATTTCAGTGAAATAATTAGTAATACAAAAAACCCACCATAAATTAGCCTTAAAATGCGCTATATTTGGTTAAGAACAACTGTTTGCATTAAAATATAAAAACTGAACATTTTTCCCTGTTGTCATATATTATAATACTATTGTAGTGTGGGAAAAACATTTCTCCATCCCAAATTCTTTGAATACCTCTTTGAATAGTGCAAGGATTTTCTGAACTCCGATTTTCAAGAGGTGCCAGAAAATCTCCAAGTAATTCAGATAAAGAAGCTCTCTCCAGATTTTCTAAAATCACAATGGTTGTCTTGCTTACAGGAGGCTGTTTAACTGGGACCAGACAAGCTGAAATATAAAAATCTCATTAATGTCTACTTATGAAAATTGACTTTTATTTATGTACACAGCTTTTGCTGCTACTAATGCAATAAGGATTTTTTTTTTAATATTTTGCCTTGTAACTTATGCACAACAAACAGACTTCAAAACTGGAAGCATAAATTCAAACAATGGAAAGAACATCATACTGTACAATAAGAAAAAAATTGAAAGCTATTATTAAAATAAATTCATGAAATGGCTATAATGGAATCTTCATGGATAGGAAGGATTTCAGCACACTGAAAATACATGCAACATAAAAGAAAGCAAAGACCTCTGAATAAATTTCTTTCATTTGCTGTAATACATCTGAAGCTTTTAACTTGTACTCTTTATACCATGTAGTGAGATAAAAGGGTTCAGCATGTTCCATGTTTGTAAGATATGTAATCATTCTATGAGGTTGGCTACGTGTTTGCTACTATCTCTTCATCAAAACCTCCCTCAGTATATTTAAGTATCACCCACACAATCAGAGCTAGTCTGAGGCACAAACAGTAGCACCTGAACACGATAGGCACTAAAATTAATTATTTATATATGCATATTTTCACATTTCATAGCTTTTACTTTATTTTTCCTGATTTTAACATCTTACTGCCTAAAAAATATACAGCCTTTGCAAATGTTCCTGGAATGCTGAATGCTTTTGTGAGACAAATATTAAACATAATACTTGTCTTGAGTATAATGTGCCTTGTACTTTTTGGAGGTGGTATAAAGAGGGTCATTACGGAAAATGATGAGTAATAGGGCAAAACTTACAGCAACTGACTGTAGCAGATGACTGCTATTTATTTCGTTTCCTGAATCACAGAATCACAGAACGCTAGGAATTGGAAGGGACCTCAAGAGATCATCTAGTCCAATCCCCCTGCCGGAGCAGGAACACCTAGGTGAGGTTACACAGGAAGGCATCCAGGCAGGTTTTGAATGTCTCCAGAGAAGGAGACTCCACAACCTCTCCGGGCAGCCTGTTCCAGGGCTCTGTCACCCTCACTGAGAAGAAGTTTCTTCTCAAATTTAAGTGGAACCTCCTGTGTTCCAGCTTGTGTCCGTTACCCCTTGTCTTATCATTGTTTGTCACTGAGAAGAGCCTGGCTCCGTCCTCCTGACACTCACCCTTTAAATATTTATAAACATGAATGAGGTCTCCCCTCAGTCTCCTCTTCTGCAAACTAAAGAGACCCAGCTCCCTCAGCCGCTCCTCCTAAGGGAGATGCTCCACTCCCTTGATCATCTTTGTAGCCCTACGCTGGACTCTCTCCAGCAGTTCCCTGTCCTTCTTGAACTGAGGGGCCCAGAACTGAACACAATATTCCAGATGCGGTCTCACCAGGGCAGAGTAGAGGGGGAGGAGAACCTCTCTCGACCTACTAACCACCCCCCTCCTGATACACCCCAGGATGCCATTGGCCTTCTTGGCCACAAGGGCACAGTGCTGGCACATTGCTAGCACAATATTACTGCCCTGTTTTACTAAGAGGATATAGAGTATTTAGAAAGTGGAGGAGAGCACTCTCCAAGGAGAGGACATGTGGCAGAACAATGGAGCAAGAAGCAGGCAGAAAAATGAGTCTCGACCTCCACAGAATATTTTGCTTTTCCCTTCACTTTTAGCACTACTCTAATCTTTCTGTTTTTACCTTCTCCTTTCTACTTCTGACTGACCCATGTGCCCCCATTCTTCTGCTTCCATACTTAATTTGCCCATTTTCACGGTCATTCATCTTTGGCTACTTTGTCCTTTTTTCAGTCTTACCAATTATTCACTGTAAATTTACACAGGTACATCCTACTGACCACTCTGAGAATACTTCATTGTGGAGCACCCAAGTAACAGGGCTTTAGTCTACACGTAGTTATTCACATCCATTAAGAGAAAACTGTTCATTTTAACAGAGATGTAACTTTGTCTTGTAGTAAAGGGTCAGAATACACACACTAACATTTGCCTGCCTAGGTGACAAAATTTGACTCAGAACCACACATAAGTAGTAAGCAAACATATGCCAAATGCAAGTGGTCTGACTTTTTAAGAACTCTTTCACTGCTCCTTTTATCCTAGAGAATTAATAATTATAGCTTCCCGTCTCATATCTTTTTAAAAAACATTAGAACAGCTACAATAAGGCAACAATAGACCTTTATTTCTGATTCAGTACATCTGAACTACAGCTGTCAACTTTTAAAGGCTCACAAACAAAGGGGAAAAGGAATGAGACAGAAAAAATATTAAGAACTATCAATTTTACTTAAATGGCACAAAGCTTTGACAGAGCTCCCTACTGGACTGTCACACTTAGTTCTACCTCTCCTTAGACCCTTATCATCATCTGTTGCGCACCTAGAAAACTATGGGTTTTGTTAAAACATGCCAACCACTATGCAAAATGTTTTAATGTATTTCTTTACTTTGTACCATTAAAAGTTTTCCAACAAATTACCAAAATCAATCCTGCTG